AACTATAATGCATCCCTTTGCTTATTTTTCACAGAAATTCTTCATTTTCAATAAGCAATCTCTTTTTGCATGCTATGTTCAGAAAGAACACTCTGTGATGCAAGGGTCACTTGTGAATTGTGCTGATTTCTACTCGAACAAATAAATCAAAAGAAGGCAGCACGAATCACTTTCTTGCAGGATATTTCCTAAACAAAACGGCTGCTGGGATTATATGCAGATGACAGAACACAATTGATTTCCTTATTGCTTCAATTTGTCGCTTAATCTCGCAATATGTTGATAAATTTTGCACTTTGTCAATTAATTTTCTTGAAAAATGAGCCCCAAAATGGCGAACACATCAATACTGTGCTGGATCCGGTGACAAAATTAAGTGATAAAATTAATTGCCCTCCATCCCTTCTGCGAAAACATAACTAATGAGGGAGGCAATTATAGTTGCATGTGGTCTCCTTCGGGGGCTTTTATTTAAGAAAAGGGGGAAGGAAAAGCAGAAGAAATATAAGAGGAAAGAGAAAAAGGCCTGCTTGGCTGGGGCTGCGACATTACGAATGCAGCGGTGTCAGAGAAGTCACTGGGGTTGACGACGTGAAGGCAGGTTGAAACAGCAGGTGACCCAAAAAGAACGGCATGCCCATTGACAAAAGCCATACTGTATCTTGTACTTTTTTGCTTCTAATTACACTTTCTGATTACCCGGCAGCTGCCAGAGCAGTTCTGTGCGAGTAGTTTGTGGGAGGCCCAGGTCTCCTTAGCCTCCCTGACAAGGGTGTTGACAATTTAAGGTCCCCAGCCTGCCCTGAGAGATCACTTATATCGAACAGCAGATGAAAAGCTAGTGCAGATGTAATTTATTGTCAGTGTTTCCTTCTGAAGAATAATTGTGGAGACTTGGCATAGATCAATAGTATAGATTTTTGTTGTTAGGTCTTGTAGTCTGCACCATAATGAGAGAGAGGGGACAGTGGCTGTTTTGTAATAGAAAATAAAGCATCAGGCTCACTTTCCTAGCAGATTTCGATGCAAACTAGGGGAAGTGAAATTCATTACTCTTGCTGGGAACCTGCAAGCCTTCCAGAGGAGGATCAGGTGGCTTTGGACTATGCATCAAAAAGAAGTGGAAAGAGATTTGTCATTTTTCTTTTTTTTATTTTGCTTATTGATTATTTTTTTAAGTGTGCTCTATCAACTGAAAGCAAAACCTGCAAAGAAAAAAACAATATTATTGTGCGCTTTTAGTTTGTATAATTACTTCAAAAAAGCTTCACGTCTTAGGGGTACATAAAGCTTTTGCAAGGTGACTACACAAACCCATTGCACTTAAATAAGATAGAATAAATTTACCTTCGCCTTTGGACATGTTCAAAAGAGCCTAGATGGAAAGAAGTGCTCTACACCTATTACTTTTGTCATTTTCATGTTGTTTTATGGTACCTAATACACTCACATCTTATTACATAACTGTATTGGCAGCTGTAACTGCGACAGAGTAGCCCTGTTTAGGACCTGCTCTGCTCATCCCTGACGAGGAAGTGCCCTAGCCATAGTTTGCCTCACCACTGCTGCCTGGATGGACGTTTCCATAGTGTAGCTATCTTTCTGCAGTTGAAAAGCACAGAAGACGATGTTAAATGTGGGTGGTGTATTATGACGTTTATGGACTGTCCAGACAATGACCGTCCAGGACAGCATCCATTTTACTTCTGTCTATTCAACATCCACCCGTCTTTGCCCACGAAAGTCTCCACATCACCACAGCGATGACATGCTGGACTAACCACTGTCTTATCTGTTCAGTAATGTCAATCAGCTTGGCTTCCAAGCATTACCTGCAAAAGCAGCAATGTCTGTGGAAACGGAAGAGGACCTGAGGATCCAACCAAAAAGAGCGTGTTTTCCAGAATGCAGAAAGCTGCAGAATTGCAGTTGGTGTTATGGACTCCTGTAAATGGCCTTGGATGCCTTAAAGGATGATTCAGTGGAAAATGTAAATATTGCAATAAAGATAAGGCAGTAATTCTTGTTTGCCCTTGAGCACAGTTTAGCTTTAAATCAAAGTTGCAAACAGCATTTTATATAATCCATCCAGCAGCCCTGCCTACATGTCTGTGCATTTTCCTACATCTCTGTAAAAAACTGCATTTCTGTAGTCAGCATGTTCATGTGTATGTACAGTTGCAGTTAACATTCTGTGTCTGCGGTGCTTTGATATCACCGAATCTCAAGAAATAGACCAAACCAGCGATGTGCAGCACACTGAAATATCAAGTGTTGTACTCGTAATGTGGATATTGTTGCACAATGATGATGCTGTGAGCAATGCTCTGCTCCCCTAGGAGTCACTCTGCTTGATATAAAGTGTTTGACAGATATATACATTTTTTGTAAGAGCAACATGGAATACAAATGTAAAGAGTGTTTCACCAAGACAGTCCACCAAGACAGAGCCCTTCTGTCCACTAGCTAAGCGCACAGTGGGCTAAACAGGCTTGTTCAATTTCCTCCTCTTGAGAAGCCTTCAGCTGCATGTCATATTAAACCCCAGTCCTTGAGCACTTACGATTCCTCTTCTCTTCTGGCCCCTGGTACCTTTTACATCCCACTGTAGTAGATGCTGATTTTCATGCCCTCATTTTATTAAATAAGGACTGGTTATGCATAGACTGATTTCTGTTGGGGAAGATTAGAGGTCTCTCCCAGTGAAAGCCAACTAGGGTTTTGGAAGAGTAATGAACTGATGGCTAATGGACTGCTGTTAACTATCCTGGACATTTTGGGAATTGAAAAACAGCAACAATGTTCAGTATTTGTCCAGTAGTTCTATTTCTTAATACCTTTCCAAGACAGTTATATGCTGCACCATACCATATAATACTGAAGTAAAACTTTTTAACTATTTTTTAGTAAAACTAATTTTAACTCTTATAAAATTGTGGAATGAAATAATTAAAGAATGGAAAATGGCTTGGACTTCACTGCTTCTGTATGGAAATACGCTTATGTTAATAGTTATATCGTCTTTATATCATATTTAGTTTTTTAACTTAGAAATTAATTTATATTCTTGCTTTCAGAACACCACGCATGTCTTTTGTATGGGCAGATATTTAAATGTGTATTTTTTGTAATCCTTTTACAAGACAGTTAGGTACTGTAACAATTGAATTCTTTGCTTGAAAATTGATTTAAACTCCAAAAGTGCTGAAAAACTCCAGGGCTTGTGTGCTATCAGCTGTAAGTGGCACTTTCTGTGCTGGGAGACGTTAGTGCACAGAAATGATCGATGACGCTGCAGGCGGCCTGATTACCCAATCTAGCAGGCCAGTCAGCCCTCCCTCCTGCTTACAGGCTTTTTTGTCTGGGGCTGAGCACAGACTGAATCAGCTTGCAAATAACATGCAAAACTCCTTCCTATCAGAAAAGATATAGTACAGAGATGAGAATGCACATCACCTCTTTTTGGGGGAAAAAAAATAAATATTTCATGCACTTAATAGAAGAGCCAGCTGCATGGGAATTGTGAGAAAGAAAAAAAAAAGTCAGAATATGCATAAAAACTGTTCAAGTGCACGAAGCAGCCCCATCTGGAAGACATCGAACAGAAATGAAGTTGTACAAAACCATTCCATTGATAATAAAGCTAATTTTTATGGGTCTGACAAGTATGTAATTATGTTCAGTGGTGCTTTTCAGATTTTATCACAGTCAATAAACCGCAGTGGTAATTTCATTCCCATTTGACATATTTACATGGAAACATTTGATTGGAGGAATTAGCAACCCTGAAAGCCTTGATAGATATGTTTTAATGATCTGTGACCTCTGCAGTCTCTCATCTGTTTGTTGTTGCCCCAGGAGAGAAGTCGTTCCTGTGTGACCTTTGTGGGTTCGCTGGCGGGACACGTCACGCCCTGACCAAACACAGACGCCAGCACACAGGTTAGTGACTGTCCTTCTCTGAGACCACCTTACTACCCATGCACCCTTTCACTGCCCTGCTGCAAGCCTGCCTTTTACACGCAAATCCTCCCGTATTGGATACACTGTAAAAATATCAGAGCCTGTTGAGATTTCTTAATTCTGATCAATAATTGTCATTGTGAAAGGGAGTTTTTTTTTAACATTCCATCAAACTCAACTCTTAGAAAACATTAGTTTGATACATAAAAAAAAGAATTTATCTTGGTTTTAATTACCTAACTTAATGGTAGTGATCTTTTTTGAGTATACCCTTTTCTTGTTTATAGAAAATCTTAAAAAGATTGTATGGTTATTGACAAATAACCATCCGTTTTTGCTAAACAATCCTGGCAAATACTGGATTTTTTGAGGTGTTGACGTTTGTCTGGGTAATATGGGTTACATGAGCAGTACCCACACAAGCAAAACACATGTGCATCACAGCACCCAGCACAAAAGGGAGAAAGCTCAAACACAGCAGTGTGATTGATTCACACTTATAGAACGCTTATTTTTATGCCATGAGAGTATGAGCATTGTGGAAAAACTGGACGTTTCTTTTCTTTGTGGGGTTGCTCATTTAAAATATGCCCGCTTTGTACAACAGTATTGTACATAATTTACATACTTTTAATTTGAAAGCCTGTCTGTTTAAATTGGACATTTTATTCATCAGGTCCAGACCACCACTGCATGTGGTCCAAAAGCTGCATATTGTGCCTTGGGACTATCGGATTTGTTGTTATGAAGCAGAGAATTTCCTGTAGTTATTCTTAATATAAATTCTCATTAGTTAGTCAGGTAGTACTTTTCCATTCTCAGGAAAATGATACTGTGTTAATAGGTGAGGAAGGTAAACTGAACTCACCAGTTACAGTATAACCACAATTTTGGGCAGCCTTTTCAGATTGCCATATAAATGTGTCCAGACTGGAACACATAGTAAATAATTACGTGCTGCAAAAGGACATTTACCCCATCACTCAATGAAAAACGTGTGCATTTTGCTCTCCATGTTTTAAATATCATAGTTTATAGCAGTTTTTTATTTTTAAATTTCCACCCACACATTTAAAATTTCCACTGCAGTTTTTCCACATAAAATCGCAAAACAGTCTATTGTAGTTGATCTCTAAATTCCAAGCATTGCTGTAAATTGAAAAAATAACAATTTCTTCATGTTTTTACAAAGCATTAGTATCTATAGGTACAGTATATCTTATATGCAATACAATATAAAGAGTATGTTCTATGTACATCTTATATATAGTACAACGTAAAAATATCTGAGCTTTACCCATTTAAAATTAAATTCAATACTCTTTCAGACTGACAAATTGAGGCTGAGCTCTAATGATGGGTCATATACAGCACACATACTCATAATCCCTGAGTTATGTTCATGCTTTTTAATATGGTTCTTTTTTCCTTTGAAGTCTCATACAAAAAAAATAAAGTTCTTGTCTCTGGAAACAACAACACAAATAAAGAGAAAATAATCAGGAAGAATAAATACAGATTTTTTATAATGATTACTTTTTACATGTACCTCTGCCCACAGTTCTTCCTGAAAGCTTTTTTAAAAATAAAATCTGTGGTTGTCCTGCCATTTTACAATGAGCACCCCCTTAAGTACTTCTAGGGCTGTAGTACATGCATGCTGACAGACAACGCCTACCTGCTGCAGTAAATACAGTCAGGTGTATCAGTCTGCTCTCTGTAATGAGCTTACAGTATGTTTATTGTTACATTATCTCTATTTTAAAATGAGAGATTTGTACGGCTGTATTTATCCTGAATCACATGTTTCTTTAGACAGTCCTGCTTTCTTGTGCTGTGAAATGGCCAAACTAATTAATTACATTTCCTTAATTCATGTGATACACGGTACTTTAAAAAAACACCAGAACTCTGAATAGTGTTCTTTGTAAGATGCAAATACAAACAGATGCAAAACGAAAACGCAATGGTATGTTTCATACTAGCAGCTTTCTGGATACACATAAAACCTGCATTTTAAATGGTGAGATGAAAGGATTGTTAATTATTTGAGTACTGTTATTCTTCGGGATAATGAAACACTGAGCCCAGGGAGATTCCATGAAACTTGGTGTTTTGAGAGCTAAAATTGACCAAATGTATCGATGAAGAATCTTTCGAAAATATGTAACTTTAATTAATGCAAGAATAGTGAAAGATACACCCATACTTAAACATGGTTGAAGGTAGACTTGAGTGATGCTACCCACTCCAACAGTTCAGAGGAGCCAGGAACCCGGCTCTCTGAGGACTTGGACATGTCCTGGAAAGCAGAAAGTCACCACAGCGGTCCAAGACCATCATGTTTGTCTGATCCATCAGCTCATTATCACACTGGTGTGGCTGAAGCCAGAGAAACTCCAGGAAGTAATAACCTCCTCATCAGCAGAATGACTCTAACTGGTCTGTTGCATGAAAGTGATCTGGATGCTTAAAGACAATTCAGACGGATAAGAGACAAAACACCATCTTATACGTACCAGAGAACAGGTGGTGGCAGAGAGCATGGTGAGGTTGATTCACAGATGAATGCCAGTCGTGATGGAAGACTGTGTGGAGACGTCATTAAGAACTTGATGGGGACTCTTGCATTGTTCAAGCCAAACGGTTGGGCAATGGAAGCGAGATAATGGGGAAGGAATCTCCTGTATCACAAAAGTCCAACCGGTGCAGATTAAAGGCAGTGTTAGTATTTTTTCTATTCCTGCAAGGCAATCAAGGACTAGTTTTTTTAACATTGACAATGTAAGACCACACAGTGCAAGGATTAAAATAGCACAAACATGGACCAAATAGCTTCCTCTCGTTTGGACCCTTTCTAGTCAAAGCAAAGCATTAAGAAAGCAATGCATGAAGGTCCTCTCATGGCCATCCTAACCTTTCCAGTAGCACATCTATGGGACCAACTTATACCATGGAAAGGAGACAGGCATGACTGGCCATCCTTCTCCAGCTGGCTGCAGGTGCTCAGAAAGAGTGGGGGAACATCCCACAGAAGCCTGTTCAGAGGCGGATCAGCTTTGTGCAACACCACTACCAGGATGGGGTAAATGCCTAGTGAAGTCATGCCATAGGTAATACCTATGTGACATATTTCCAACTGAAAGTCTGTCACAATTCTTTCAACTCTTTATTCGGTGACATTTTTGTGATTTGGATTGATGTCAAATGTTTGATTAAATCTTTTAGACGAGAAAGCTGTGTGTTATTTTTGCTTTCATAGGCGTATAATTTATCTTGCATGTTGGCTGGGATGTTAGATATGCTGTACGTCTTGTGGTGACATTGTGACTATGACGTTCCTGTTCCGCACAGATCGTTGCGGCTCTTCAGGTGTGCTGTCCAAGGAGTTCATTGCCCTCTGCTGTGTCTTTTAGGGGAGAAGCCATTTCGGTGTGATTTGTGCAGCTTCGCCTCTACCACGCAGTCCCACCTGACCCGCCACAAGCGCGTGCACACAGGCGAGAAGCCCTACAGGTGCCCCTGGTGTGACTACAGGTAATGGCTCATTGACAGCCCGGGGGGGGCGCTCATCAGCTGCTTCGTTGTCTGGGACTGCTGGAAATTCCCCGTCGTTAAAATGCCATCATAGCACCAGTAATTACACGTTAAATTGCCAGTGAAATTGAAAAACTTTTTTACCAACGTTGCAGTCTTTTTTTTTATTATATTCTTTCATGTGCACCTGAAAAAGCAGAATCTTTTCTGAAGTGGTAGGAAACTCAGTTTAGCATAGCTGTTCTATTCCCTTTTCCATATGATTATGATTATTTCACCATGGGCATTGCATGGGCTTACTGCAGCATTGCTGATGTCATTTCTCAACTGAGCTTTGATAGATAACCGAATAGAAAGACAGCAGGAAATGTTTGTTGTTGATCTGTTTGTGGTGTGTGCAAGGAATTCAGATGGACAGATTCAAAGTAATTCATTTAAACCTATGTCTTTATCTGCTTCCAACGTCTGAGATTATTTTATTGCAGAAAAATAATTCCTTAACTTCAATAACCTTGGGGCTCCCTTAATAACATTGCAGATTTTAAAAAGAAATAAAGTAACAAAAATCTAGGGTATCATAAAAAAAAATAAATGTCTTATGTTTTGGTTCATCATGGACATTTCTTACAATATGGTCATATACTGTATGTGCGGTAAATCTTATTGAACAGTACTAAACTGTAGTACTTTGCACATATATGATACAGCACCGAAATATAACATTTTGTTGTTAATGCTGTATCATTGTATTGACCTTTACTGAAAACAAGGAAAATAATGTACCAATTAACCCAAAATACAGTACAAAAGAAAATCTGTAGTTAGCTTCATATGTTTTGTTTTTCCCAGCACACAATTGTAGTGCAGCTTCAAGAGTTTTAAAACCAGTTTCTTGTAAACACTCCACTCCCTGAAGTGTTTTGTCCAATTCCTCTTATTTTTTCTGTTGATCTGTGCAATCTGTTTAACCCCACCTGACCTTAGCTGTATTCCTGTGAGGGCTCTGCAGTGACCACCGTTTCTAAAAATTTTAGACATACCTGTATTAGAAGTAGCCCTTGGATCATTATCATATTGGATCAATTCAAGTCATATTTATCCAAAATTAAAATTAAGCAAGGTTTTCGTACTGACTTGTATAGAGAACCCTTGTTTGAAGAGCACACAGTGTGTGTGTGCCACTGTAATTGGGTAATAATATCCGTGAGATTGTGTGCAGCATATTTCAGACAGTCTGAGATATGTAGATGACAGATTGATTCAATTTGAAATAGTGAGGCTGTTTTGAAATGCTGTCAGTTAGCATGCTGAAAACGGAGATAATCCAGGGATCTGAAACAGACATTTCCAAGCAGAATGGATTGTCATATTGTGCAGTCATGCTCTATAAGTTACACCTGTATTTGGAAGGGTGAGGCCAGTTCTTCAAAATGAAATATGTACCAAAAGTTAGGCTTGCATGTCAAGAGAAAGACATCTGTTTCAGTGAAGAGACTCCAGTTGATGTGTAGCAGCTCCGGAAATGCAGTGACATGGAGGAAATAGACAGGCAGACAGAGAGATAGATTAAATGCTTCAGATTAGAGGCAGGATTTAAATTTAACAAATGTGTCGTAGTCTAATACAGTATGTTAAGTTTGTCCAATGACCTCTGCTGTGCCTGTTGCAATGAAGCTTTGTCTTGTTCAGTTAAAGTGTGAATTATCTATTTAAACAAGTAACTAATTCCAAGTCTAATTGGATATGTGCTGTACCTCCAGTACTGTTATTTCTTAAGTGACATCTGTTGATCTCATTAGCAGTACCCATAGCTGTGATGCAGTGCTAGTTCCACTCTGCCAAGTTCTTTACACCACTGGAGGTGCACGTTACCCAGGAAGATGTGCTCTTGCAGAATCCAGCTGTTCTACAGGACAACGAGCCAGTGCTGTGTCCCTCTGTCCCGGGAGACAGAAGGAGCAGAAAGCAATCGTGTGACCATCAATCAGCTGACTTTATTCTCCTTATAAAAGTGAAAACATCCTTCAGTTCTGACAAGACACTTCTTGTTTTTTTTTAATTGGTCATGATATAAGTGCTTGTAACAGTATTGAACATCATGTTCTTAAGCCAAAATAGGAAAAACAAGCTTACTACATCTTTTATTTTAATTAAGTAAACAGTTTTTTTCAAGTCCAGAAAATGAAAGAAAATGTCTTAGTATTTATTGGTAAATATTCAGATTAGTGCTACCTGTTATTATGATAAAAAACATGCTGCGTAATTATAGAACACATAAATAAACCTATGCCTCTTTGGGCTCTTTTAAAGTGATGAATGCACAGGCATGCATGAATGCTACATGTTCTGATAGCGATTGATATTTGCAGATTGTTGTTTTACAATAACAGATTAGAAGCCCAATTAGCGTTTTGGTAGCCTGAGGCCTTTGTTCTTTCTCAGATTTTTGACCCCTGCTGCTTGGTAAATCCAGGCCTGGCAGTCTACCACCAGTGGCAGACAGCTATGACTGTAACAATGGCTGATTGTGTGACATGCATTGATTTAAATTTGTTTGCATCAAAATTAATCCATGTAGTTTATTTAAGGCTCTGCACATCCACCAATAAGATAGATTTAGGTAAATTAGTGTCTTTTAAAAATTTAATTGAAGTGCACTGCATTCTGTTATGTAATCGGCACTGGGTCTTCATGCTTGACACAGAGCCTTTAGCCACATAACCTTCTGTTTGTTGCGTGGAAGCTTTATGACCCTGTAAAATTGATAAAATTATCTAAAACTCTACCTAGACAAATTGTAACATTTTTACTATATATCATCTATCTAACCATCTGTCTATCTAGGTTTTTGTGACCTTATGGATGTATATAACAGATGAAATAGCTTTTAATTCTAATTAACTCTTAGAGAAGTTAATCCTTGGGCATGCTGTGAACTGTGGCAGTTCTTAGCAATTGAATAGCAAAGAATGAAAAATGCATTTTGAAGGTAATTTGTCCTTTTGTTTTTTAAGCATTTGTCACAGTGAAAAATCGGTACTTGTGCCTCTTCTGTCTATAAAAGAAAAAAAATTAAACCTGTCTGGAAATAAGCGAAGTCTACTGAATGTCATTGGGTCTTACCAGAGATTGGCCCAAATATCAGTGCTTTACATGTAGAAATTCATTACATACTGTATATCGCTAATCTAATAATGTAGACATTTCATTTTTTGTGTAGTTTCAAATTGATTCATTCTACTTCTTGTTGCCTTCATTAATGTGAAAAAATATGAGCCTTATTTTTTTTTCAAAATAACAGTTCTCTTTCTGCCTAAAGCAATCAAAACAGGAACATCTCAACTCTCTTTCGAATTGCTTGCCCTTTGTGGTAAGTTCATTGCTATAGATGTCTTTTTATTTTTTATAAATATACAGGCAACAGAACAAGTAAGACATGACAAAATCACAATTAACAGTCATTGCATGTATATCATGTTTGATATACTAAAGGATGCCAAAGTAACAAACATGCAGTCCCCACTTGAATGACATGCAGCAGCCCCACGACACACTAGATCAGGAGGAAAAGTGAGGTTTTACTTCACCAGTGGGATAAAGGGGACACTTTAGGGATGCCAGAGTGAAATACAGCCAAAACACTGGGGTTAGCACCTCTACTCTTATGAATAGAGTACCATGGTGTGTTTAATGACCAAATACTATGGACCTCAGGTTAAACAGTGGTGGTTCTTAAATAAAAACCTGCTATTACTTGAGATTTCTCTGTGCCTGGATCTCATAGGTATCTCTATAGGTGTTCATAGAAGAGATTCATATGACCTCTCACATAATGCTTCAAAATTCAGAAAGATCCTTGTGTTGTACACAGAAATTATTTCATTCGTTTATCCTCAAAGAGCTCAGATCTTTTTAGCTTGCAGTAAATGCAGAAATCTAAAGAAGAAGGTCTCGTAATATTCATTATTTTAGCTTTCTATGCATTAATAATTTTTCGAGTCGGAATGAAATACTGACCTTGCGAGGGACTGCCAAGTTAGGAGCAGAAATGCAAATGGCTTGCTGGTACCCCAGATACCTTGCGTTGAGTTTGGAAATTTAAAAATCCACTTTTTAAAGACTAATTAAATGCTTTCATTAGCGTTTGAAAGTACGGGCACTATATTTATATTCAGAAGAGGTTGAAAAGATTTCTTTTTAAACATCCTACAGAGCTTGAAACAATGCCTTGCCTTTGCTGGCAGGCCAGTCAAGCTGGCAAAAATTTAAACTCTAGTAGACTAATTAATATTGTAGAATGCATCAGCTTTTAGGAATTTGACACCTGCTGACTCTTAAACACATTTTGTGCTGTTTAAATATGACAATTATGTCATTTACATATCTAAGAGATTTGTGTGGCGATGCACATCCCCCAGGGCTCTTCGTATTTATTTATATATTTATATTTTCTTTCCATTGGATGAAAATCACTCATAAATTTAGGCTCACAGATTCTGGTTTTGTTTAATATGTCAGTTATAATTACGGTTTTAATGATTATTTTATAATCCCACGGCACACAAGGAAAGATCTTGTCTTCAGTGGAACCAGTCAGGCTTTGTGTGACAAAGTTTTCATGTGGATGAAACAATTTGTGCGACTGAGATAATCGGAGTCCGTATAATAATTTATGGTAAATTTGAATTAAAGACAGTGATTTCCAGGCATAACGGAAAGGGTGCTTTTTCCCAGTGTATTGTTCTAATCAGCTCCTGGTGATATCAAGTCAAGCGGAATTTGCTGCCTTTTATTAAAAAGGGCATCTTCTCTTCATCTTTGTCGTTGTAGCTTGTTTTTGAGACAATTGCAGCCTCCGAAGAATCATTCAAAACAGTCGATCTTTCTTACCCAGTCTTACAAGAAAATAGAGAAATATTATTTACATTGCTCATTTTGCATCTTAACCTCTCTTGGCATTATACTTTGTTGATCAGTAGTCTTCCTGTTCAAACTGCCTT